AAAACGCTCTTAAGATTGTCGTTGATTACATTTCTTATGATCATTAGGCTAGGCCTAGGAGTTAATAGAAAACTAATCCAATTCGCCTTCCAAGCAAGTTGGCCCATAGTCAAAACGTAATTAGACAACATCCTTACAAGGGATAATGCCTGGGTAAAAAAAAGGAAGTTCTATTTATGCCGCCAGGCAGTTATTTGAAAAATATTTGGTGCTTATTTTTACTGAATTTGAGGCTCGTTAAGTCGCAACTTAGTAGAAAAATTACAAAATCGTGACGTCATGTGACATTTTAATTTAATGTGTATCCGTAATTTATTCATTATGCAAAAAGAAAAAATACGTGTCTAATATTCATCAATAATCTACCTGTGAACAGACAGACTAGTCAGTCATCATCCGTATTCTAGACTTACCATCGGGTAGGTCAAAAATGCTTTTGTCGACTTGAGCTGTACTGAATGTGACGTATTCATGACTGAGATTATCTAATATATTTTCTCCAGACTCAACCCGATATTGGTATCTGAATAAATAAAAAAAATCAAAACGGAAGCTTATAACAATTATAGATATAACCATATTGTGAATAATGCTGAGGGCTCTCCAAAAAGAAAAAATCATATATAAAAACACAATGTGCTTACCAGTAGACTGAAAAAGCTAAATTTAATAAGATATTAATAATTAAATTTCAAGATAATCTTACTAACAAAATTTTGATGTTCTATTTTGTGCTGAAATCACATTGTTCTGTACTAACCTTTTCGGTATTGTCATATTTTCATTGTCCAAGGTGACCCAAATAGTGTAAACACTAGTCACAGTGTATCCATCCACAAAATTTACCTTTGAGGCCTTCCATTTCTCGGTATCAGACCCACTTATTTGCTCAATTCCTATAAAATATTTGTAAAATAAATGCTATTGAATAAATTTGAATTTCACTGTGCTTTCATTTATTTCATAAATTATCATCATCATCATCATCACCAGCCCTTTTACGTCACCACTGTAGGAGCTCAGGCCTTCCTTATGGATGGTTAATGAGGATGGGCCATGATTCTCCACGCTGGCCCAATGCGGATTGGAGGGTATTAACGACTACAAATGCAGCCGGGACCATCGGCTTATCGTGCCTTCGGAAGCACGGAGTAGCTGAAGATAATAATTTATACTAATGTATATTTCTGTAATGTATTATGACACACGTCTGCAATATACAGTATTAAACAAATTCGTTTTCCGCTGTCTGTACGATGAGATCTTTTAAAATACACAACGGATTTTCATGACATTTCCAACAACTGTTGGAGTGAATCAAAAGAAAGGTTTATATACATATATACAGAGATGTACAAAATACCCTGTACAAAGTATCTGGAATACAAGATACAAAATACTTTTAAATTAAGTATTTCAGATACCAGATACGAAATACTTTCGAGAAAAGTATTTCAAATACTAGATACAAAATAGGTATCTTATAGATACTTTTTATAAATACAAATACTTTTCTAAAAAAAGATTTGAATTTAAGTTTGTTTATTAAAGACCACAAAAACCTACTTTTAAAGACCATAAAAACCTCCTGGATTTTTTAAGCATTTTTCATTAGAAACAATTTTTGTAAGCTTTTATTTAGTTTTCTGTGTTTGTAGTCAAATCTTACAAGCTAAATTTCACCCACTTTTCCTCCGTTTTATTTGTTTGTCAATCACAATGTAACATATAAAAATGCAAATATTGATTACATCAGGTTTAAATTATTTTAAATTTTTTAGTTCCTTTTTAATAATTATTTTTTTCAATATAGCATTGTGAATGAAAAATTGCTGAAATATAACAACAAGAATAATTATATAAATTTAATTATAAAATTATTATTTATTTAAAAAGCTAGTTTTACGTACGACGTAAAATTACGGAGAACTGAAAATTCATTTTTTCCTAGTGAGATGAAGAGAGTGAATAATTACTCGAATTTTTAACTTATCCATGCGACGAAAAATATTCAAATGCATTGAAAACAAAACACTTACTATTGAACAAATGACGATTTTAGAAAAAAATAATTTGATATTAGAATTATCAGCCAAAAAAAAAATAGTTTGATTTTAAATGGCTAGTACAGCAGAACGGCAATTACATAGGTGAAGACCAGAGATGTGACTTATCTTAGATACAAGTATTTGAAATACAGATACAAGATACAAAATACGTATTTTCATCTTGTATCTAAAATACTTTTTTTAGGAAGTATTTTGTATCTTGTATTTAAATACTTTTGTTTAGTATCTTAGTATCTTTCAAATACTTTTTCTGATAAAATACTTTATAAAAAGATTATTTCTTACATTTTATAAATATCACAAAACATTCTTTGCCTAAAACATACATATTTACAAAAAGAAAGTGTTCAATTATCAACGCAATGAATATTTAGTTAAAAATAACTTGAATCCAAACATTGTTTGGTGTCATTTAAAAAGTAAATGCGTAGAACTGAACGTACGGTTATACCGGTGTAATACACCCTCTCTAGTAAAAATTGATAGATGGCGCATAGGGCTTGAAATCGAATAACCAGTTACAAGCAATAAAAAATCTTGATTTATGTAAAAACCCCGTTATATGCTATAAATAAAACTCAGTATATCAATTAAACTCATTATTAAATTTTATTATTTTTTGCACATATTACTTTTTCCACCAACAACAGCATTCAAAAAGTTTATTTTTAAAGAAATTTCACTGTGAAATTCGATACATGGCAAATGCTTGAAATTATATCCTGTGAGCAAAGCAATATTGCTTTTATTGACTCAACAGTTAATCTTTTTCTATCTTTTGACCACTGCATATTCATGAGCGAAAAAAAGTCAATATTCTCATTATGAGGCATAATACAAAAAAATACTGACAAATCTTCAGTAGTTCGGAAACGAGTGCTGTCATTGCATATATTGAAAATAATTACCCACTGCTTTTCAACTAGTTCGTCATAAAAATAAATTTGTTATTAGAAAAAATTCTTCAAATAATATCTTTGACATCGTCAATTAATACTCCTTTATTTTTCAAAAATACAACACAATCTGTGATGTAATCGTATAGTGCTTTAATAAGTAACCATTTAATTCAAGGGATCTTTATTGAGAAACAACAAAAAAATGGGCGGAGTCCTGTCTTAATATTAGGTCTTCACCAGAGATGTACAAAATACCCTGTACAAAGTATCTGGAATACAAGATACAAAATACTTTTAAATTAAGTATTTCAGATACCAGATACGAAATACTTTCGAGAAAAGTATTTCAAATACTAGATACAAAATAGGTATCTTATAGATACTTTTTATAAATACAAATACTTTTCTAAAAAAAGATTTGAATTTAAGTTTGTTTATTAAAGACCACAAAAACCTACTTTTAAAGACCATAAAAACCTCCTGGATTTTTTAAGCATTTTTCATTAGAAACAATTTTTGTAAGCTTTTATTTAGTTTTCTGTGTTTGTAGTCAAATCTTACTCAAATGTCAAAGAAATTATTTGAAGAATTTTTTCTAATAACAAATTTATTTTTATGACGAACTAGTTGAAAAGCAGTGGGTAATTATTTTCAATATATGCAATGACAGCACTCGTTTCCGAACTACTGAAGATTTGTCAGTATTTTTTTGTATTATGCCTCATAATGAGAATATTGACTTTTTTTCGCTCATGAATATGCAGTGGTCAAAAGATAGAAAAAGATTAACTGTTGAGTCAATAAAAGCAATATTGCTTTGCTCACAGGATATAATTTCAAGCATTTGCCATGTATCGAATTTCACAGTGAAATTTCTTTAAAAATAAACTTTTTGAATGCTGTTGTTGGTGGAAAAAGTATAATGTGCAAAAAATAATAAAATTTAATAATGAGTTTAATTGATATACTGAGTTTTATTTATAGCATATAACGGGGTTTTTACATAAATCAAGATTTTTTATTGCTTGTAACTGGTTATTCGATTTCAAGCCCTATGCGCCATCTATCAATTTTTACTAGAGAGGGTGTATTACACCGGTATAACCGTACGTTCAGTTCTACGCATTTACTTTTTAAATGACACCCAAACAATGTTTGGATTCAAGTTATTTTTAACTAAATATTCATTGCGTTGATAATTGAACACTTTCTTTTTGTAAATATGTATGTTTTAGGCAAAGAATGTTGTGTGATATTTATAAAATGTAAGAAATAATCTTTTTATAAAGTATTTTATCAGAAAAAGTATTTGAAAGATACTAAGATACTAAACAAAAGTATTTAAATACAAGATACAAAATACTTCCTAAAAAAAGTATTTTAGATACAAGATGAAAATACGTATTTTGTATCTTGTATCTGTATTTCAAATACTTGTATCTAAGATAAGTCACATCTCTGCATATATAATACGGTACCATGAAGGCTAAGTCGCTAACGAAAAGCTAGTATTGAATAAAAATAAATACTAACATTGTATTTACACAAAACACATCAAGGAAAAAGTAAGTAAACTTGCTCGCATCTCAAGACGACTCATAATCTCATCAGTGGAAGAATTAATACATAAATCGGAAAAAAAAACACTCAAAGATATTAGAGCTAAGATCTGGTGCGATTGATACGCCTATTACGCAAATGTCAATAAAAATAAAATGTACGATATGCCGACGTTAGAATGCAAATAAGAAAGCAATCATAACGATGGAAGTGCACAGAAAATATTGCCTCGTAAGCGTATTCTGTATGTTATAAAATATCGATAAAACATGTTTTGCCCGTAATAAAAATTATTCAGTCGATTTTTATAAAAGTTGAAATCTGGAATATGGATATTGTTAGCAGAATGTAATTTTTCGTGCGTCGTTTATTGACACGATGTGGGTAGGTGTTTAAGGACTCTGTGATCATTTGATATAAATATTGAGCAATAGTGCAGACGAGTAAGGTTTTTGTACAATATTCAACTACAATGTTCAACGGTTCCGGCACTACAATCCCAGCAGACCAATACAACGGTACAAACGATACTAGCACTACAATCCCAAAGGACCAGCACAACAGTGCCAACGGTAACAGCACTACAATCCCAACAGACCAGTACAATGATATCAACGGTACCAGCACTACAATCCCAGCAGACCAATACAACGATACCAACGGTATTAGCACTACAATCCCAAAGGACCAGCACTACAGTGCCAACGGTACCAGCACTACAATCCCAACAGACCAGTACAACGATGTCAACGGTACCAGCACTACAATCCCAGCCGATCAATACAACGGTACTAGCACTACAATCCCAAAGGACCAGCACAACAGTGCCAACGGTACCAGCACTACAATTCCAATAGACCAGTACAACGATGTCAACGGTACCAGCACTACAATCCCAAAGGACAAATACAACGGTACCAACGGTACTAGCACTTCACTCCCAAAAGGTCAGCACAACAGAGCCAGCGGTACCAGCACTACAATCCCAATAGACCAATACAACGGTGTCAACGGTACCAGCACTACAATCCCAAAGGACCAATACAACGGTACCAACGGTACTAGCACTAGACTCCCAAAAGGTCAGCACAACAGTGCCAATGGTACCAGCACTACAATCTCAACTGACAGGACAACGGTCTCTACGATCCCAGCACAAAGGTCTCATTGGTCCAGTACAGAGATTCTAATGGTCCCAGCACATCTTTCCTAATGATCCCGAAAGTCGAAACATCTGCAGTTATCATAGTTCCTATAGTTATCATCATATCGTGGTAGTCCATATACAGTGATACCTCAATGTTCATGCTTAACGTATACGAGGAGACATATACCTAAAAAGACTGATAATATACTTATAAACTCATCACACTAAATTTGACATTTATATGCTTTGTGGCTCGTAACTTATGGTTAATGTCACAATATTGTTTCTTCTTGTTCCTAGATTTTACCAAGAAAATAGTCTTTGAATACTCTTCAAAGTAAATAAATATTTAGAGCTTATTTGTGATTCATGATATAGTTTTGAAGACGGTCGACTCAGAGCTGGGTTACTTTTTTTATCAACTAGACCATTGCTAAAAGTCATAGAAGTTATTTGTTGGAAAACCTAATAAAATAAATAAATATGCTTTTAATAGTTTAGTACGACCAGCTATTTTATTCTGTAATAAAATCAGCGCATACGTGGACGTCGAGTACAGCGCTGTCACAGCATAAAGGGTCAATAAGATAATACCTTTACCTACCTTTAGTAGGTAAAGTGAGTAAAAGTAGGTAAATCTTTTATGCTGCTGCACGCGGAATACTGAACATTTCCGTAACTCATTTTCATTGGGGTATCGATCAATGCTAAAAATTAAGCAATAGAATTCACCCCCATACAATAAACGTAAAAGAGACATAATATAAAATGTACCCACCTTGATATATAAAATTTTGTTTGATCGGTAAATATGTGTTGATGGCGTAGTTCTGAAACTCGCCTAGTCGTAGCCTTCGACAGACATGTCTGTTGACAGTTTCCAATGTTGATTCTGGGTAGATCTAAATAATAAAACAAGAAGATACAAGTTCAAAAAGTGCCTACTGCTGGGGCATAGGCCTGCCCAATAGATGGAATCAAATATGAAAATCTACCGGTGTGTCTGTGATTAACGCAGTTATATAAATAATCCAGTTGCTTTCCATCACTGCGCAGTAGAATCGACACGCCTTCTTTGAAATAATCCTATTATTGAGGTATTTTAAGAACGAACGAAAAAATCGGAGAAAAAACAAAGATTACAAAAGTCAAAATCCCATTTTAAAAGTTTGGTACCGTCATCTAGTGAGGATTAGCGTCTGCTAAATGTAATATAACATTTTTTCGCCATATTAATAATCCCACTATTAAATTATGTTATAGGAAAAACCGCAAAATAGAAAAGAAAAGCTTATTTGTTTGATGAAAATCGGAAAAAATAAAGACTACAAACATAGCAAAAATCAAAAACCCCATTTTTTAAAGAACGGTAGTGTCTAGTGATCAGTAGCGTCAGCTTAATAAAACATTTTCTTGTACTTAATCAAGACAACATGTTTAACATATTTAATATGAGCGACAAAAATTATATAGATCTTCAAAAAATTATTTCATCCTGCATAAACTTGCAACGAACGCAAGAAGCTTTAAAAAAGTAAAATATTCTTCAGAGTTAGCAACAGTTTTCATTGCTGCTCCACTCTTATAAGGCACAGCGTGATGTTATATAGTGTTTACAACATAAGGTTCAGTTTCGTTTACGCTAGGTGTGGAAATAAAGTAACGCGTGGCTTGTGTGATATCTATACTGCGACTAACTGATTTTCTTACAATTGCATATTATTTATAGCACAGTGAATGCAAACATCAACATATAGCCTATCATCATCGTCATCATCATCAATTCAGCTGAGAGACGCCCATTGCTGGGCACATGCCTCCCCCAAAGATCTCCAAAGCGATCGATCCTGCGCCTCCCGCATCCAGCGGCTTCCCGCGACCTTCACCAGATCGTCGGGTTACCTTGTGGGAGGCCTACCAACACTGCGTCTCCCGGTACGTGGTCGTCACTCCAGGACCTTACCGCCCCAACAGCCGTCAGTCATGCGAGCGATGTGCCCTGCTCACTGTAACTTGAGGTTCGCAATTATTTAGGCTATGTCAGTGACTTTCGTTCTTCTGCGAATCTCATCATTTCTGATTCAATCTCGCAAAGAAACCCCGAGCATAGCCCTTTCCATTGCCCTCTGGGCGACCTTGAGCTTCCTTATGAGGCCCATCGTAAGCGGCCACGTCTCAGTTCCGTATGTATCATTGGCAACACGCACGAATTAAAGACTTTCGCCTTGAGACACTGCGGTAGATGTTCCGAGAATACACTGCGTAGCTTCCCGAACGCTGCCCAGCCGAGTTGGATCCGTCTATTTGCCTCTCTCTGGAAGTTGGACTCATCTAATCGGACTATTTGTCCCAGGTAAACGTACTCATCGACAGCTTCCAGTGTAGAGCCTCCAACATTCACTGGAGTAGGTACGACATAGGAGTTTGACATTATTTTTGTCTTCTCCATGTTCAATTTAAGACCCACTTGCTGGGAAACTCCACAGAGATCTTCGAGCATTGTGCCTAGATCTTCCATGGTCTCAGCCATGACTACGATATCATCAGCGTATATAGCCTATAGCGCTCCTCAATAAATGGAATATTCAACACAAAAAAAAGATAATTTAATTCGTATCAGTAGTTCCTGAGATTATAGAGTTCAACCAAACAAACAAACTCTTCAGTTTTGTATAAATTTACCTAAAACATACTCGATACTCCGAATTAGATGTTCTAATAATTTTTAACATAAATATGAATGAAAATTCATTAATCGTTGTATTAAAGAATTCCTAGACATAATTTTCTTATAATTAATTACCTTGAAATAACTGAACCGCTGTTCCGCACCGTAAAGACGCAAACGAAATAGTTTGTCTAAGCTATTGTAGAAATCTGCTCTAGTATTTCCAGCACCATCCACCCTGGGAAAACAAAGAAAATCCCCTGAATGTATAAAGTCACAGCCACTTGGTTTAAACCATAAAACAATACCTTTATTTTAAAGCAGCGTTTAATCTGACCACTAGCCTTTTAATTGAGTTTGAATCCGATCTCAGGGTACCAGGAACCATGTGTACTTTTAAGGCATTTTTCAATTAGAATACTAGTTTTCCAGTTAAATCATTATGACATTTAAAAAAGTTCAATTAGACGGCTACTCTGAAAACCGCGGTAAAATCAAAATCGACAGTTGCGGGAAACTTTAGATATTTTTATTTTGCTCTAAGATAAATATCGAATTAAATATCGCAATTTGTGAATCCAAAATTGATTTAATATAATAATCAGTAAATTCTTACCAAACTTTATACGGCTCCAAAATATCTGACCCTGGTACCGTCAACACAGCTTCGTAACTGTAACTGTCGCTCCACTTCAATGAAGCAACTTAAATATATTCAAAACAGTTTTAACTTAATCTCTGACAGAAATTTATTTTATTTAAAATTTAAATTTCACTTAATCTAAATCAAATTATAGATTTAATTAGGATTCATAATTATTAAAACAAAACTATTACTGATTAACTTGTTTTCCTGCAACTTCACCCGCGTAAATTGTCACCCGTGTCTGATGCAGCTTCCCATAAGTGAAATCATTTTAAAATCGGTCCAGTAATTTCAGAGATTCTCCCTTCACAAAATAAGTATAGATAAAAATTAATCTTTCCATTCTACATTTTTATAACTTATCAAACAATACTCACCGGTTAATTTGGTTAATGCAAAAAAACACAAAATTACGCACTTCATTGTAACAAAACTATAACACAATGCACAGTACACGGGCAATCGTCATTTCGTCATGTTTTTAGAGCAAGTCATTAATTAATGGTGAATTAGAACAGTACAATCAAAATTCAGATAAAACATTTAATCAATTAATCCAAACATTTTCCTGTTTCATATACTTATGATATATAAAATTACATTAATTATTTTTATTTAATACTGTTTTTAGAGTCATGTACACAGCCGATAAGAGTACGCGGTTAATTAATACTTTCTTAGTTTTTTAAAACATGGAACCGCTAATGTCCTCTCACTTAACCCTCAATACGTTAGTTCACTGTTTCATATTAGGTTTGAATTTTATATCATTTTTATTTCACACGCGGATGAAGTCGTGGGCAACATCTAGGTTCACGTCTTCACCCGCGTGTCTTTGTTTCGATTTTGTTTTTTATATGTATTTAAATAATTATTCATCTCATCAGCATTGATATCGGTACAACCTTTCAGTGTAATTAACTAGACTTTGTTTAATTGGTAGACGACAAATACAATACTTTGATATTAAGTAAAAAATATGAATACGGCTCGAATACATTTAATTGACAAACGCTCAATACAAGCGATTGCACAAACGTCCATTAAAATTGTCATCATATTAAAGTGATACTACCCATACAAATATGACATTCATTAGAGCTTAAAGGCATCATTAAACCTTGACGGATGTTTATGCATAGGACGGTTAGTGTCAGGTCAGGCAGGGCTATCGGTATATTCAAATATCCAAGTCGATTAGAACAGGGTTCCAAAACTTATTTTGTTCAGTGTCTGGCGACCAAATGTTGTCTATGAATAACGCAATGTACAGCAAGGACATCAGGAATTTGTTTTTTTTTTAAAGCGCTGCGAAGCCTTTATGGCACTCTATCATAGCCGAAGCGTCATCCGTAGCAACTAAAATTATTTTTCAAGGGAACATTTTTCATTACAAAACTTTTCCAATGAATATGCTTTTGTATCGGTCTCTAAATTTCGAGAAAACAATAGTTGTTCACATATTTCCTCACGTTATAAACTTTACGTAAGCAAACAATACCTCATTAGTTAGTAAAGTGGACTCATCGAGTTGAATTGAGAATTGATTTGTTTTCAGGTTGATTTGTTTCAATGATCCTTCAATGTTTTCAGCCATTTCATCAATTCGTCTTTGCACAGGACTATTACTCAAAGAAATTTTTCGGATTATCTCTGAGGTCGGTTTATGAAGCACAGTAATTATTAATTCCTTTATTGCTGGCAAAATTAACTCTTCTCTAATGTTATGTGGTTTGTGATTTTTATTTTATA